AAATTTAATAATTACTCCCTCCTTTCCCTTTGCGGATTTTAATAATAAATCATGTTTGCTATATTTATACTTTAAACTTTTTTATTGAAGAAAATTTTTTTTTTTCATTTTTAAAAGGTTTAAGTTGTGTCCATTTCAAGAGAAATTTAAGGGATTTTCTAATTATTTTTTAAACTAAAGGAGAATTCTACCGAAATATTGAATATTTTATACCATCAATATCTGCTAGTTTAAACTTGGGGTCAAAATGAGCAAACTTAAAAGTTATTGCTCGGGGTAAAATTCATTAAATCCGGTTAATGGACGGTCTGTCAAGTGCAAATAACTTCCATCCCTAGTTCTGTCAAGTGCTACCACCCCCAAACATTAGTGGTAAAAAAACCTGCCCCATGCCCATTTAAGAAAACTTTTTTATGGGGGGGAAAAAGAAAATTTTAATATTTTCAAGGGGGAAGGGGGGGCCTAGTAGTTAAGGTGCCTGCCTCTCAACCCAGGGATCATGGATTTGAGTCCTTATCGGGTCGAGACCATTTTTCTCAATGTGACACAAGTACTGGTTGGTTCCAGAAAGCAGACTCGAAAGTTATTAATATCAGTTGCAAGAACTTGATTCGCAACTGACCTTAAATAAATATGTTTAAACCAAAATTTCTTTGTTACATGTCTGGCAACAATGCATGTAGCTATTAAATGCTATACTGGCAATATTTCTGTATGATAATACCAGATTGAACAATGTTGACTATATATATATATATATATAACCATTCAATTACTCCTGCATAATTATATGATGTATTAAGAGCGTCAGTAGGGAAGTGTCATAGGAAAGAGTGCTTGACTATCCTCAGAGCTTGTTCGTAAAACAAAAGCCTAGATAATGTAGAATTTTCTGACTTCAAAAATGGTAAGTTTTGACAAAATGCAAGTTGGAGTAATTGGCCTTCGATAGTGACCTTCTATTATGCTCTCAAAAAAAGTGTGTGAAGTTTCAATCCATTCTCTTCAGTAGTTTTGGAGATACTTATTTACACGCAAAAAACCTAAGCAAAGTGTAATGACAACCCTGAGTGAGAACAAAAGCTCTCCCTAATCTTTGAATAGTCAAGCTAACAATATACATAACACAATACCATTTCTGATACAACAGGCCAGCCTTCCTCAGGTTCTTCTATCTCCGGGGCAACAGGTAGATACATCAAAGCCTCCGTGTCTTCTTCTTCCTCATCACTATAATCATAGTAAACTTTTATGTTTATATTTGAGCCGCGTCACAACAAAACCAACATAGTGCGTTTGCGACCAGCATGGATCCAGACCAGACTGCGCATCCAAGCAGTCTGATCAGGATCCATGCTGTTCGCTTACCAACTCTTTTACAAGTAGAGAAACTGATAGCGAACAGCATGGATCCTGATCAGACTGCGCGAATGCTGGTCACAAACCCGTTATGTTGTTTTGTCGTGACACGGCTCATTTCTCTTATTTCATCAAGATTAAGCATGTACAAAACTTTCAGTAATATCACCAATAAAGGAGTTATTGAGCAAGACATATTTAGTGTTTTTTTAACCTTTGCACAAATGCTTACTTGTTTTTCTTTTAAGTATCTTACCAGTCTTCTTGATGATAAGTGTTTACCATACAACAAGTATGAACATTACAACCAATATACATTTGATTAACTGTAGTTACATGTTAAAGGTACATTATGCCTAGGAAATCTTATTTCGTCTTCTTTAGAACGCGGGCAAGTGTTTGTTAATGTTAATAGATTTAAAGCATATTAAATGCTTTATTACCAGAAGTTTGTAGTGCTGAATACGAATTAATTTGTCATAATAAATTTTATCATAAAGGCAGCAAAATGTAACAAAAAGTTGTACTTTTGACTTGACTTCCTTACAAAATTCCTAAACTACTTGCAAAATAAGCTATATAGCCAATGAGTAATTTTTTCAGTTAATGTATAAGTAAACTAACAAGAGCTGTCACAGGAGACAGCGAAGCTCGACTAATAAAATACTGGACGCAGTAAGGAGGACAAAACTATGAAAGAAAAATCCATTATGTATAATTATGTATTAAGTTATAGAAAAAAAATAACATTTGTTAACATTAATTCCAAGATCAAGGGGAATAATTCTAGAAATAGTCATCCTAGAGTTATGGACCTTGTCACACAACATTTGTGTAATGATAAGAAATATATATTTGAAGTTTGAAGTAGATACCTTAAAAAGTAAAGAAGTTATTATATTTCTTAAAGAAAATCCTAAGTTCAAAGACAGATAAATCTGTAAATATTGCTTCAAGAGTTATGAACATTGTCACATAAAATGTAATTGATGATAAGGAATAAGTATTTGAAGTTTGAGGTAGATACCTTTAAAAATAAAAAAGTTACAATAAAAAATAACATTTTTCTAGTAAAAAAATCTAAGTTTATGGAGAGATAATTCTTGCAATATTGGTGCTAGAGTTATGAACCTTGTCACATAAGATGTGGATGGTGATAACGTAAATATATTTGAAGTATGAAGTTGATCCCTTTAAAAATAAATAAGTAACAGTAAAAAATAATATTTTTTATGGAAAATTCTAAGTTCAAAGGGAGCTAAATCTAAAAATATTGGTGCTAGAGTTATGAACCTTGTCACATAAGATGGGGATGATGATAACGTAAATATATTTGAAGTATGAGGTTGATCCCTTAAGAAATAAAGAAGAAACAGTAAGAAATAGTATTTTTTGAGGAAAATTCTAAGTTCAAGGAGAGATAAATCTGACAATATTGGTGCTAGAGCTATGAACCTTGTCACATAAGATTGGGATGATGATAAGGTACATATATTTGAAGTATGAGGTTGATTCCTTAAAAGTAAAGAAGATACTGTAAAAAATAGTATTTTTTAAGGAAAATTCTAAGTTTAAGGGGAGATAAATCTGAAAATATTGGTGCTATAGTTATGAACCTTGTCACATAAGATTTGGTTGATGACAAGGAACATATATTTGAAGTTTGAAGTTGATACCTTAAGAAATGACAAAGTTAAAGTGAAAAATATTTTACTGCACCAAAACTTTAATCTAAAATCTGGACGCGGACGCGGACGCCGACGCAGGGGCGAGTAGGACAGCTCTCCATATACTTCGTATAGTCGAGCTAAAAACGATGTAAAAAGGTTTTGAGAAATGAAGTTTTGTGAATCTTTAAGGATACAACAAAAAACCTGGATCCATAATGCAAAACTGAATTCATTGAGGTGGAATATATCAACACTTCAACATGTAATGGTTTACAAAACACATTGAATGAGGTGCTTTCAAAGAAGATGTTACATCTGTGTTGCATTCACCATGGTTAATTGTTATTGTTATAAATATACCTGCTAACAAATGCCTGTATTGCATTAACTGTTGTAACGTCCACCTCAACATCTTCTTCCTCCTCTGTAAATATACAAATTACAAGTAAATGATAATATAATTCTATATTATCTATAATATAAATATATCATTCGATATCACAACATAATCTTTCACTGTTGTGTATGCATAAGTGAGGCCTTACATTGTGTCACCTTAGTGCAATAACTGATTAACTGCTATTAAATATAAAAAGACTTATTCAGTTATTGCACTAAGGTTATGATTAATTTAACTTGTACCTTGATTACTGCAAGCACAAGATCTGACAACAGCATCAGGGAGTTGGTTCATTGGATCAGTCGTGTAAAGCATTGTCTTTTGTCAAAGTTTAGTAGGATCCAATCCCACATAATAACTTAAGATATGGGATGGTTTCCTATGAATTTTGTAACAAACTGTGATACTGTAACTGACCGGTGGCAACCTCCTGTGTCCTCCACTCTTCTAAGTGCTGGGTAGTCAAACTAGAACTGCCACTATCATGGCGTGAATACCCCCGCATACCACTTTGTCAGAATCAACAGTGGCCATTTAGAGCTCAAGGACAACCTCCCTGCCAAATCTGAGGTTACTAAGCCAGTGCATTGCTAAATTATGTATTCTACATGCTTCAAATGTGAAAATGTCAAAATCAATACATTGCGGACAGGACATACTTGAGCAATTGAGAAGAAAAGCTTTTTTGTCAAGGTCCCTGTGACCTTGACCTTTGACCCAGTGACCTCAAAATCAATAGGGGTCACCTTATAGTCATGACCAACATCCATGCCAAATATGAAGACTGTGGGTCAAAGGAATCTAAAGTTATTGGGTAGACAAACTTTTTGAAGTCAAAGTCCCTGTGACCTTGACCTTTGACATGGTGACCTCAAAATAAATAGGGGTCATTTACTAATCATGACTAACCTCCATGCCAAATATGAAGACTATGGGTCAAAGGAATCTTAAGTTATTGGGCGGACAAGCTTTTTGAAGTCAAGGCCCCTGTGACCTTGACCTTTGACCTAGTGACCTCAAAATCAATAGGGGTCATCTACTAATCATGACTAACCTCCATGCCAAATATGAAGACTGTGGGTCAAAGGAATCTTAAGTTATTGGGCGGACAAGAAAAAACCGACGGATGGACGGCCGGACGGACGGACAAGCTGATTCCAGTATACCCCCCTTACAACTTTGTTGTGCGGGGGTATAATTAAAGCAACATAGAAAAGGGGACATAATTCTGGAAAAGTGCCAAGCAGGCTTACCAGCTCATAACTGTCAACAAATTTTTATAGCTTGAAGTGAATAACTTTCACATTTTTTGATGAAAAGGCAAATATTCTTAATATAAATCAAAGGGAAATAATTGGGATTATCTCCCCCTTTAGATATCCATTTCAAACTTAACAGTGAACAAAGCACTTAAAGTTTAAAGTGAATATGAGTAATGTACCTTCACAAAAATGGTAACTGAGAAATTTAAGGTCTAAAAAGGGGGAAAACTGAGCAAATATTAATCAAAAGGTTATGTTCCCTTTATAAATGCATTCCAATTTTAAAATTAAAGAAGTTTGAAGTGATTTACTTTAACAAATATTTAGAAATTGACCTTGGCAGAAAAAAAGAAAGTAAAAACAATGGGGGATAACTTTTGATTAACTTCTCATCTGAAATGATGTCATATTTTGATAATAAACATGTGCACCAAATTTGAAAAGAATCACTTTGGTAGTTTCTAACTTTCAAAGAAAATGGACCTTAACACCCTGGATGAACAAGTTTTGTCACGTGACCACAAATGCAAACGCCGATTTAACATTTCAGCAATTAGGGACCCGATTTCAGGTAATTATTTGAAGATATCTTTTTTTCTACTGCATCCACAAAATTATGACCTAGACCTTAGGACCCGGCGTTAATTGAGCTTTTATTTTATGTATGTAGTAATTGCGAGACTTAGGTGCTTTTTTTAGAACACTTCGACATAAATTTTCTTTTTGCAAGGCAAACGCCGATAGGTTTTACCTTTTCTAATCTTTTTGTTCACTGGAAACCCATGTAGAGGGAAAATAATAGAAGATATGTCTTTTTACAAGTAATTTTCGTACCTAACTTATTCAAAATTTCATTAGCAAGGTTATATTCGATAAATACCCATGTTTTCCACTTATTGTCGATTTTGCAAACGTCGGTTGATTATGTAAAATGGCCAAACGTCGGTTAAGACAATTTATGATATGGTGTCGTCAAAAGAATATTGATTCCCTCACAGCATCCTTAAATACTTGCGCTGAGTTTTTATCAGATCTGTACAATAAAGGTTTACAGTAGGTTACCGCTCTATTTTATCTGCAGTTTAACCTCCAGTTTTACCTCCTATGGTTAACATCCGTTTGTTATCAGATTATTAAAAGTATTCAATTAAAGAACTCCTGTAACAAAGTTGTTGCCTGAATGGGATTTGCCTAAAGTTCTTAGTTCGCTACAAATATTTCCTTTTGAACTTTTAAGAAAATCAATTTAATTTTTAACATATAAAGTTGTTTTTCTTACAGCTATCATGACATTCAGGGGAGCCAGCGACCTTCAAGCGTTAACATTAGGAGGAGCTATTTCTGTGAAGGCAGATGGGGAAACTTTTATCAGACAAATTTGGCTAAACAGGATAGACCTGGTCATTCATCAGCAAATATTTTGTACCAGCTTTTAAGACCATCCAAGACGAGCACTTGCTATCTATCTTAAAAGAAATAAATCCTTCAGACATAAAGATTAAACAAGTTTATTTCTGACAATAAGTGTACCTCATTCTAAAGCTTCTTCACAAACTTTGGCTTCATATATTCTTAAAACTATTCAAGAGGCTTATGAAGATAAACATAAAAGTGAAACAGCACATTCTACAAGAGCTTTAGGTCCCAATTCTCAACGCTGCAGATTGGTCAAAAGAAAACACTTTCGTTAAATTTTATTTGAAACAATTAACTCAAAGTGATCTCACTGTGTAGTTCAACGTCGCTGTATAGTTCAACCTAAGAAGATTGAAATTTTTTCTAAATTTTTTAATCAAAGTTTATTCCCGACGGATTTTGTGTGGAATTGATTTTTGAGAAGATTATACGGTTTTATGTATACATGTATATATGGGATACGAGAAGTTTTATAAAAGTTTGTTATTCAAGAAGAAGAATGTTTTAAAATAAAAAAGGAGAAAAGAGAGAAGTCTTTTGTTCAGAGAATTGTAATATTTGCAACTTGACTTAAATAACCACCGGTTTAAAAGAATCTTACACCGACTGCCGGTACAGACCGGAATATCTGTCGAGTTTCCGCTAAATAGTTACCCGAGAGCTAGATGTTCCCGTCTGTACCAACAGCCGGTGTTTGATTCTTTTTCTTGCATATTACATATCAAATATTTTCGGAACAGGAATTATGAAAACTGATATATATATATCGCACTTTTTTCTTATAGTAGCGTATGAACATACAACTTCATTCATAAAGGAAAAAAGACGTCATCCTAAGAACGCGACTCATTCATTAAAGGCGCGTGTCAATGACGTCATTTAAAGCACGCGACTTGTCTTACATAGGGATGTAAGACAGAGTTTTCCAGCACCGATGTAAACGGTAGATAATCATGTATGAGGTGCAAGAAAATCCTGTCTGAGATGCAAGAAACATATATATCTTATATGTTCAACCGGCGTTTGCATATTTTACATGTTCAAACGACGTTTGCAAATTAGACAATACGGGGAATAACATGGGTTTATGTCAAATATAGCTTTGCTAATGGAATTATAAATGAGTTAGGGACGGGAATGGCATTTAAAACGACATATCCTCTATTATTTTACCTCAACGTCTATTTCCAGTGAAAAAAAATGATTGGAAAAAGTAAAACCTATCGGCGTTTGCTTTGCGAAAAGAACATTTGTGTCGAAGTGTTCTGCAAAACTTCTAAAGTCTAGTAATGACTACTCATATAATATAAAAGCTTAATTTACGCCGGGTCCTAAGGTCTATGTCTTATTTTTGTGCTCGCAGTGGAAAACAAGAGCGATCAGTAATCACATGTGTCGCCTCATGATGGCCAATTTCATGTTGGGACAAATTTTGTGACAGACGGACAGACAGACGGACAGTGCACAACTAGACTAACAACTTTGTACTAATCATTCCTGTAAAGTTTGGATAAAATTGCACCAGTAGTTTATGAGGAGTAGTCCGGACAAGCTTTTGCGTATCTGGCAACACACAGAAAAAAACACCTTTTTATCAAAGGGCCATAACTCGGCCAAAAATCATTCAACCGGAAAACCCGTGCAATATGCGCAAGGACTTGAGCTACAGATCAATCCTGTAAAGTTTCATTGAAATTGCATTAGTGGTATAAGAGAAGTAGTCCGGACAAACTTTAAAATTAAAAATTATTAAAGGGCCATAACTCAAACAAAAATCATTGAACCAGAAAATGCTGACAATATGCACAACTAGACTTAATACTGATCATTCCTGTAAAGTTTGGATGAAATTGCACCACTAGTTTATGAGGAGTAGTCCGGTCAAGCTTTTGTGTATCTGGCAACACACAAAAAAAGAAACCTTTTTATCAAAGGGCCATAACTCGGCCAAAAATCATTCAACCGAAAAACCCGTGCAATATGCGCAAGGACTTGAGCTACAGATCAATCCTGTAAAGTTTCATTGAAATTGCATTAGTGGTATAAGAGAAGTAGTCCGGACAAACTTTAAAATTAAAAATTATTAAAGGGCCATATCTCTGACAAAAATCATTGAACCGGAAAATCCTGACAATATGCACAACTAGACTTGGTACTGATCATTCCTGTAAAGTTTGGATGAAATTGCACCAGTAGTTTATGAGGAGTAGTCCGGACAAGTTTTGTGACGGACGGACGGACAGACGGACAGACAGACAGACAGACAGACGGACAGACGGACAGACAGACGACGGAGAAGTAATCCCTATATGTCGCCACTACTCCGTAGAGGCGACACAAAAAGATATCTGCAAGTATTTGCTGAAATGTTAAATCGGCGTTTGCATTTGTGGTCACGTGACAAAACTTGTTCATCCAGGGTGCTTAACAAGGCAAAAAAATGTTAAAAGCTGGAAAAGGGGGCATTACTTTGCAGAAAATAATTTTAAGACTTTCTCAGTTTCTGCCCTTTAGAAATTGTGTCCATTTATTACAATGAACATGTATATACCACATATGGAGTGAACAGTTTTCATAGTTTCTGAGCAATGCCAGTGCTAAAAACAACACCAACTCTGTATAAAAGATATTTAAGTGTAGCTTGTAAAATTGTGGCCTTAAAGGATTTTAATGATTTTAAATGTTGTCTAACTTCAAATGCATTTATTATTTTTAGACTTTTCAGTGTTTGGAATGTGGGTATACGATGGTTTTTGAGCTTTACTTGCAGACATAACAAACTCTGACATATCTTACTATTAAATATTTCTTTAGTGCAAATGTCCCTCCTATTTTTCAGTTCAAATATTTGGTATATACAAATAACTAGTATATGACATAAAGTGGAAACAAAACTAATAACCGCAATTATCAAAATCTAGTATTGAATCTGACAAGAAAAGTTTAAACCTTCCATAGTTTGTACAAATTCATGTCTGTTATTCAAAGCATGATAAAACTTATTTTATGCAACATAAGCACGATTTCAATGCTTCTTCAACCATTAAAAATTCTATATACCATTTTTGTCAAGTTAAACAGCTAGAAAATATTGGGTTTAAAAGCGCTTAGTTTGCAATGTGTAAACGTCATGCCTCATTTAATAACAAAACAGGATGTCAATGAAATTATCGATGTCACCTAAACTAGAAAACAAAATTGTACTTTATCCAAATAATTTAATTTAAATAACAATTGAATACACAAAAACAGGTGGGTAATTTCTAAATTTTTATTTAGTTTGTTTGGTTAACAAAAAGTGTTGTGGTATATGATTTAATCATTAAGTAAGATAACTGAGAGGGTGGGGCACTGAAAAATGTGCAAGATAATATTGCAGCTTGCAGAGAGGTGAAGAAAAAAATCGTAAATTTTTCTGATGTAATGGTAGTCTGTGACCTTGAAAGTAAATAGTATATAGAGGGGTTGGAATTTTTGTGCCATTTTTAGAGGTTTTGTGCCATTTTTCAAGGTCAAAATATATGCCAATTACCCTTCCCAAAATAAATGGATTTTGATTATTTCATTCTACATTGGGCAAATATATCATAAACAAGAGCACTGCTAGGCAGAGCAATATATGCCCGAAAGTGTTTGTATTTGTAAGACATGGGAATTAAATAAAGTATTACCTCCTTCAAAAAGCAATCCTCCTTTATAGCTGAAGAACCTTCATATATATACAATTGCTGTTTTTAAAAGCACCATCATCAAGTTGTTATCATGTAAGTTAAAATGCTATGATGGATGGACAGACCTAGGGGTATAACATAATATAAGCAAATTTTTAAGGGCATATAGATTCTAATTAATGTTCTCAATATAAGTGATCATCCTTTGAAGTTTGACAGTTGTAAAACTGTTAACAATATTAAGATCATTTGATATTGAACTTTGACCTTGTGACCCCAATATAGATATGGATCTTTTATTCAATATAGGCAATCATCCTATGAAGTTTGAACACTGTAAGCCAAATGGAACTTGTGTTATGCTCCAGAGAGCACAATTTTAAGTGTTAAGGTCATTGTGACCCTGACCTTTGATCTTATGCTCCTAAAATCAATAGGGGACATTTATTGGACATGGCTTTCATCCTATAAAATTGTACAGCTGTAGGTTGATTAATACTTAAATTATTGAGCAAAAACTGCTTTCAGTTTTAAGGTAATAGTGACCTTGACCTTGTGACCCAAAATTTATATTGACAATCATCCTATGAAGTTTGTACACTGTGGGCCAAATGGAACTTAAGTTATACTGTAGAAACTGCAATTTTCAGTGTAAAGATCATTGTGACCCTGACCATTGACCTTATGACCCCAAAATCAATAGGGGTCTGCTACTCAATATGGACAATCATCCTATAAAGTTTGAATATTGTGAGCCAAATGGAACTTTAGTTTTGATCTGGAAACTGCTTTCAGTTTTAAGGTTATAGTGACCTTTGACCTTGTGGCCCTAAAGTCAATAGGAGTCTTCTACCAGGGCCAAAACACCATTTTTGGGGAAGAGGCCTCAGCCTTTTTCTTGGGGAAAATATGCGTGATTTTGGCATACTCTGGGAAAAGGGGTCTCAAATTTAACACACATTTTTAACAAGTTCTTCAAAATAGAAAAGCAAAATGCACTGGGAATTACTAATAGGGCAGTAAAAGACCTTACTTCAACACCATTATTTAATTTTGTTCTAAATTCTATGGGAAATTTAAAAAAGACTGAGGAATTTTGAGGACCAAACTGGGGGAAAAAAAGAGGCTAGTTTGGTTTAGGAAGCGGCCTATATTCGGCCTCTACAAAGAAGGGTTTTTTTGGCCCTGTCTACCCAATATGGACAATCATCCTATGAAGTTTGAATATTGTGGGCCAAATGGAACTTAAGTTATGCTCTGGAAACTGTTTTCATGCAAACTAATATGAGGTAACCAAAACTTGTGTTAGTACAAATGTTAAGAAAGTAATCAGCAATAATGCTTATTAAGAAAACTTCATTGAAGCACAGGGTCTATCAGATAATATCTAGATACACCTATAATGATGTGCAACCAATCATTTCCCATTTGACCCATTTAGTAAGCTTGAAAGCATAGAAATGATAAAAATAGTTAATGGCAAAGATAACTTTAAAAAGCTGTCCGGTTAGTTCAATAGGTAGAGCTTTGGACTGTGAATCGAGCGGACCGGGTTCGCTTCCTGAACGGCCCAGGTCACTTTTGTCGCGATTGATCATGAAATCTTTTCTACGGTTATTCGCTCTGTACCTCTGCTCTGGCATGTACAGAAGCTTCAGTTCCTTGCAAATGAAGGTAACTAGTACTGGTAAACTGCTTGAAAGTCTGCCCAGGAACGATGTGAAGCTTGAACTGTCCTATGGTAAATTCAATGTGGCTTACTGCCGTGATCAGAAGTGAAAACTACCAACACCACCACCACATTTAAAGACACTCATTAAGAAATAATAACAATACTATTATTAGAATGAAATTTTAAAACTTAATAGACAAAAATCTAATCTAAGGCCAAACATCAAGGCCTATATAACATGTTCTCAAATCCGCACAAATCCAAGTGAAAATCAGGGATGGTATAATTGAATTGAGAAATCATAAAAAATTGTAATAAACTACAATTTGCAAGTAACTGACAGTAATCAAAGTCTTTTTCCATTACATGTAATTTTGATTTTATTGAATACAAGTCTAAATTTTGGTGTAATCCAAAATAAAATACATGAGTAGGTTTCTGATAAATATATTATCTTCACATTCAAGTATCTTTTTTTTCAGATAAACATGGAGGTGTCTGGTAAAAAACCATTAACGAAGATTTCATCACCAATATCTCATAGTTCTGAAGAAGATTTTAAATTATTCTGCACACCATGTGATCGGGTGGGTCCTAGATTGCCTGCATTTGGATTCTGTATCCATTGCAATGAGCATCTATGTCAAAATTGCTTTCAACATCATAAAGTAGCAACACCTAGCAGACATCATGTACTTCTTGACAGAGAATCTATGCCAAAAACACATCTGCCATCTAAAACAACTCCTAATGCACAGGATGACTTAACAAAATCTTGCCTTAGACATAAGAACAAAATGATCGAATATTACTGCTTTGACCATTCCAAACTTCTCTGTAATGTTTGTGTTACTTTGGAACACAATCCAAACTCTTGTACAGTAAAGTTTATTCCTGATATTTCTGGTGAAGTCATTGACAGCCAAGAGCTGGAACATGTAAAAACAAAAATGGACACAATCATTCAAGAGTGTAACACAGTAGAGAAAACATGTAAAGTTTTGACAACAGAATCTGATAATTCTCTAGCTCAAGCTCTCAACAATATCAAAGCGTATAGGGCGGAACTTAACAAAAAATTGGATGAAATGGAAAATGCAGTTGAAGTTAAAGTGAAATATTTTCTGGAGGAAAACAAACAAAGACTACATAGTGCTGAAACAATATGTGAAGATGTTAGTAAATCTGTAACAGCACTAAAAGCAAGCATCATAGAAACAAACAAGGCCAAACAACCAGATAGACTTTTTATAGATATGAAAATTGCTCATCAAGAGATATGTGAGTACAGTGCTTCTGTTAAAGACCTTAAAGAAGTCTTAGAGGTAAATGCCTACCATTTTCAACCAAATACGTCTATAAAAACGTCTATGAATTCTATCACAACTCTTGGACTTCTTGAGTCAGAACAACTTTCAACAAAGATGAATACAGATCAACCAAAACTTTTCACTGTTCCCCGAAGAAGACCTTTTGAAAATTTTACAGAGAATGTAAAGCAAAACAGGGTTCCAATGAGTCTCTTCAAACAAAATGATATGCCTTATTATGGTGACCTATGTGTCAGAGCAAAAAGTGACACAATTAGATGCTGGATTACAGGCATGACTCAGCTAAATTTTGATCACTTAGTTGTTGTCGATCACAACAACATGTCTGTCAAAATTTTTCAGACGAAAGAAAAAAACCCAATGAAATCAGCTATAAAAATGCCTTCTAAGCCATGGGATGTTGCTGTTGTACCTAAGCCATGGGATGTTGCTGTTGTACCAAATAATGAGATTGCTGTCACTCTACCATATGACAATGTGATCCAGTTCCTTTCAACAAAATCAAACATGCTCTCAACAACACACACTGTAACAGTGCAAGGCAAATGTAGTGGCATTAGTTACTGTGATAACAAAATGGTTGTAACCTACATTGATCCATTAAAATGTGAAATTATGGATATAAAAGGGACAGTTCTTGTTCAAATAAATGGACAAATAGACAACAAATATACAATGGTAAATCCATCTTATGTCAAGTGCACAAACCAAGAAATCTATATTTCTGATAATGGCGCTAGACGCATAATAAAACTGAATTGTCATGGTAGCATAATTGACAGTTTCAGTGTCAAAGGACAGTATAAAGGTATCTCCCTTTCAAATGATAGAACACTGTACGTGTGTGAGCAGGGTTCAGACAGCAATATATTGCAGATACTAGAAGACTTTAAAACAAGGAAAAAAGTGATTGATCAGTATAGGTGTCCGCAGACCATATGCTGCTGGGATGATTGGGATAATGGCTTACTCTATATAAGTAATCATCGTTACACTGATACAGACAACTTTCTGACTGTCTACAGAAATAAGTAACAACTGAGGGGGGGCAGGGTGGTGAATCAAATGTGAACAATATGCCATAGGGCGTGAAGTATAAAACTGATTAATTAGTCCACAATAGTGATATCAATAGCTGCCAAATTAGTCCTGAAAACAATATGCTACCTTATAAAATCAACTATTCTTAAAGAAATGAATAAAACTTTGGCAGAATCAGCAACTGAAAACAGAGAGATGTCTACTCTTATAAAATTATTCAATGTATGCATGTAAAATGCAAGATTCTAAATTAACTACAACAAAGTGCATTGACATGTTATATAGAGGATATTGAATAAGTGTACTTTAATACTAAATTTATTGAACGAGTTGAATAAAATCATATTATGCGAGCCTCTGGCGAGCATAATATTGTTTTATTCAATGAGTTCAATAAATTTAGTATTGAATCTTCACGAATACAATATTCTGTTTATCACATATGTAAAATAAAAAGAGTAAACTGTTTAAATGAGTAATTTTTCAATGACGCGCCCATAGTGTAACGCTAACATTAACGCTATGTTTTTATAGAGCGCAAATGACGTCATGTCAAAGTGTTATTACACTAGTGTAATATCATTTTTATTAAATGGCTTTATTACACTCCTGCGCTGCGGTTTATGTGATAATCTAACTTATCAATCTTTACCTTAGTTGCAAGCAATGCAGGTTTCCATGAAAAATAAATTCAATACACACAAACTAGTGCATAATGAATCATAGTTTGGAGAGTTTACTACTGAAAACATGTCAGAGTTAAATCATATACCAATTCATGCACAGTGCGTAAACTGGAGTGCAGGTATTAGTTACCTGCACTCACTGTCTGTCTAGAACATACTCGTTGATTGGCTCATTTTTTTTTCTGGGGTTTACTTATTATGACAACAGGGAAAGCGATAACAACAGAACAGTCATATTCAGATGCTCATACATTGGTTAATACTTTTTTTTCTGAACAACAGGGAACATGTTTTTTATTTTTGCTTCTGACACAAAAGAGAAAGAACAGCAAACACTATACCCCCTCATACAAAGCAAGATATCCTCAGGTTTTGATGCTCTTTCTATCACTTAGAAACGTAATAATGTTTTCACATTCTTTTAAGATAAAGATATTATTTCATATTGCCATAAACTACAATGTACATACACTTTAAAAAAACTGTACATATATGTTATATCATGTTGTTTTCATATCCGTAAGTTTGTTTGTATCTGAAATTTGTTTTTAACAAATAGTATTTATAACAAATAAATCTAAAGAAGGAGAGAACACATGTCAAACATCAGGATGGTTTGTAAACTGGTTATGTAAGGATCTACCGGTTTCTGTCTTTCAAGACCTTCATCAGGATTCATTTCAATGATACATGATTACTGAAGTACTAAAAAAGACCAAACAGAATGTGACGTATGTTACTAACAATAGACATATATATGAGTTTTTTCTGGGCAAGTTGCCAAGTAATTGTCCATTTAAAATATTTTAAATGTTTGTTAACTATAGATAAAAAATTATGGCATGGTGGAAGTGTTCATATTTATCTAAAAATGATTGTTTTGCATAAACGTAATTCTAATTTTGAAGTCTTAGGTTGATTGTGTAGCTACTGAGGAGAAATTAGCTGGTTTCAGTATTTAGAAACTAAAGTTCTTAATTTTTGTGAGTAAATATAGACGTTAGTGGAGATTTCTTTCTGTAGTTGTTTCCCTAATGTAATTTTGTAACAAATGTTTCTCTTAAAATCAGGTATGGTAATTTAGCTGCTGGTTCTTTCAATCTAAAATTATAACAAGATATGTTTGTAAAACATGTATGCCCCCTATCAGCAGCCAATTAGTCATGTGATAAAGTTATTATGCATGACTTCTGACCCTGAGTGATCAAACAATTAATAAGGGTTTATCAAGTATCTACTGGTCATGACCTTAACCTTTGACCCCTTGACCCAAAACTCAATAGGGGTCATCTGCTGGTCACGAACAATCATCATACAAAGTTTGAAGTTCCTAGGCCAAAGTGTTTTTAGTTAATTGATCAGAAACCGTTTTTACCTACAAGGTCAATGTGACCTTGACCTTTGACCCCTTGACCCCAAAATCAATAGGTCATCTGCTGGTCATGACCAATCACCATACCAAGTTTGAAGTTCCTAGGCCTAAGGGTTCTTTAGTTATTGATCGGAAACCGTTTTAAACATACAAGGTCAATGTGACCTTGACCTTTGACTTCAAAATCAATAGGGTCATCTGCTGCTCATGACCAATCACCATGCCAAGTTTGAAGTTCCTAGGCCGAAGCGTTCTTTAGTTATTGATCAGAAACCGTTTTTACTTACAATGTCAATGTGACCTTGACCTTTGACCCCTTGATCCCAAAATCAATAGGGGTAATCTGCTGGTCATGACAAATCACCATACCAAGTTTAAAGTTCCTAGGCCTAAGGGTTCTTAAGTTATTGATCAGAAACTGTTTTTACTTACAAAGTCAATGTGACCTTGACCTTTGACCCCTTGACCCAAAACTTATTAGGGGTCATCTGCTGGTCACGACCAATCATAATACAAAGTTTGAAGTTCCTAGGAATAAGCGTTTTTAGTTAATTGATCGGAAACCGTTTTTACCTACAAGGTCAATGTGACCTTGACCTTTGACCCCTTGACCCCAAAATCAATAGGGGTCATCTACTGATCATGACCAATCACCATACCAAGTTTGAAGTTCCTAGGCCTAAGGGTTCTTTCGTTATTGATCGGAAACCGTTTAACCTACAAGGTCAATGTGACCTTGACCTTTGACCCCTTAACCCCAAAATCAATAGGGGTCATCTACTGATCATGACCAATCACCATACCAAGTTTGAAGTTCCTAGGCCTAAGGGTTCTTTAGTTATTGATCGGAAACCGTTTTTGCTTACAAGGTCAATGTGACCTTGACCTTTGACCCCTTGACCCCAAAATCAATAGGGGACATCTACTGATCATGACCAATCACCATACCAAGTTTGAAGTTCCTAGGCCTAAGGATTCTTTAGTTATTGATCAGAAAACCGTTTTTGCTTACAAGGTCAATGTGACCTTGACCTTTGACCCCCAAAATCAATAGGGGTCATCTACTGATCATGACCAATCACCATACCAAGTTTGAAGTTCCTAGGCCTAAGGGTTCTTTAGTTATTGATCGGAAACCGTTTTTGCTTACAAGGTCAATGTGACCTTGACCTTTGACCCCTTGACCCCAAAATCAATAGGGGTCATCTACTGATCATGACCAATCACCATACCAAGTTTGAAGTTCCTAGGCCTAAGGGTTCTTTAGTTATTGATCGGAAACCATTTTTGCTTACAAGGTCAATGTGACCTTGACCTTTGACCCCTTGACCCCAAAATCAATAGGGGTCATCTACTGATCATGACCAATCACCATACCAAGTTTGAAGTTCCTAGGCCTAAGGGTTCTTTAGTTATTGATCAGAAACTGTTTTTGCTTACAAGGTCAATGTGACCTTGACCTTTGACCCCTTGACCTCAAAATCAATAGGGGTCATCTACTGATCATGACCAATCACCATACCAAGTTTGAAGTTCCTAGGCCTAAGGGTTCTTTAGTTATTGATCGGAAACCGTTTTTGCTTACAAGGTCAATGTGACCTTGACCTTTGACCCCTTGACCCCAAAATCAATAGGGGTCATCTACTGATCATGACCAATCACCATACCAAGTTTGAAGTTCCTAGGCCTAAGGGTTCTTTAGTTATTGATCGGAAACCGTTTTTGCTTACAAGGTCAATGTGACCTTGACCTTTGACCCCTTGACCCCAAAATCAATAGGGGTCATCTACTGGTCATGACCAATCACCATACCAAGTTTGAAGTTCCTAGGCCTAAGGGTTCTTTAGTTATCACTCGGAAACCATTTGGTCTACGGACCGACGGACCGACGGACCGACAAGTGCAAAGCAATATACCCCCTTTTCTTCGAAATGGGGGCATAATAATGAGTTTTGAAGATATTTAGTTAGTTCAAAATATCAATCATATAATTAAATAGCTGTCTGACATAATTTTTTTAAGTATTGTAAAATGCTCATTTTGCTGTTCATGGTAAATTTCAATTATGGGAACTATTTAGGGCCATGGTGTAAGTATCAAATTCCTCTTGGAAATGTGGCCATGTTACTTCAAATTTTTTTGCATGGTTTTGGTTAATATAAATATTTCTTACTCTTCTATGGTACTTTTTCCTATTGTCAACTTATTGTTCTAAGCTTTTTTTTCTTGTTATTAAGGTTGTTATGTATATAGGCTTTATTATAAATGTTTTAGTATCTACTTCCTGATTGATAATCTCGAGGTCGTGGGTTCGATACCTACTCTTGTCAACTATCATTTTTAATAATTTTGTTTATTTGATGTTTATATAATTTTTCATGTTCATTCATCTTCTTTCAAGAAAGTTCTTTTCATGTTCATTCTGGAATATTCTTTCTCTAAGTAGTTTAGTATTCTAGATTGTTCATTGATAGTATATATATATATATGATGAATGTTTGTACTTCGAGGTGTGTGTGCTAATTTGTGATATTGTGTGATGTTGATATACTGATTGTGTGCTATTTTACTTATGATATTAATATATTAGTTGGAATCTGTAATACTGTGTGGGAAGTGTTTTGGACATATTGTGATATTCTGCTGTGGACATTGGACATTGTTAAATTTGAGTTGTGAACTATTGAATTTCGAACTAAGAGTTAAACTTTAGGACATTTGTTAAATTCCAGGTCTTGGGTAATTGTGAGTTAAACTTAGTTTCCATACTTTTTTATATTATTGTAAATAACTGTTTTTTCTAAATTAAAAATTGTAAATTTTTTTTGCTGCGTTATCTTCTCTTTTGCGTTTAGCTTATAACAAGGTCTTTTATGGCATTGAGAGTAATCTTTGCTAGAATTTCAGTTATTAGATTAATTTGGTCTTGTGGAAGATCTTTGTTGAAAGTGTTGATAATGATAAGTTATTTGTATCAAAATAGAAATATTAATTTTGTAAAGCTCATTTTTATAAGAGGACTTATTCATGTTATCATTTCATATTTTATATACTACTTTGTTTATATTTTCATTGTATTCACTATCAGTTGTGTAATGTACATATATTTGTAAAGGAATAAATAAATCATATACCTTTGATTTATCTTCGTCTTACAGTGCCCTATCCTTTCATGAGGACCAATGTCTGTTGTAGATTAATAAAATATTGTTTTAGTGGATCAGCTTATTAGCTTCTGCAAGTCAGTATGAGAACTCTAATGATGATTGAACCTGTGACATCAGGCAAATCCTTCAATGTTACTTTGATTTAATATATCTAAAAGTAGGGTTGCAATATGACGAAACCAGGCTTTAAAAGTTTATGTTACACATAAGCATATTGTCACCATTTTTCATTATCTCTACTAGAATAAACATATTGTTTATGTTAAATGCTACCTTACGACTATGCCAATATTAGACCATGCTGCTATTACGGGCAGTTATCGAAAGACTCAAACAATTTTTTTTTCATTTATTAATTAGAAAAATGACCTCCATTAAGACCAGGCCACTAATGTGGTATTTCTTGACCTGAATTGAGATCAAAATTCAACGAAATGCCAGGGGCTAACAGTACCAGCCGTTTTACAACATACAATCATGTAGATGTTTACCAAAAGTGGACACTTTCTGTAAAGTTACATTTCATATAGACAAAGGAAACACCTGTGTTGTGCAAAGAAAAATTACTACTCTGTGATTACATGAGGTGAGAAATGTGTTTGTGTTATAATTGATAGAATATGCTCAAAGTTCATGTACAATATAATAGGCAATTTAATTCGGAAGGAAACCTTTAAACGGTAATTTCTACCTGCAAGTTTGTACAAGTTCAAACAAGTGGTTGAGTAGATTACTAATTTACATATAAATTGATAAATTGTGCTCTTTACGGAAGTTAAAAAAAAGTTAATGCAATTAAGGGTATTGTTTTAAAACAACAGTAAGAGAAAATAAAAATACCACAAATAAGTACATGTTTCATGTTGAAATGTTCATATCATTTCATGTCTGAGTATTTATAGTATCTGTAGAAATGTTTGTTGTTCTTTTAAACAGCAGCAAATTAAACAATAAGAAATTGTGACTTTCACCTGCTTTCTATTCCCCCAAACTGTATATATGCCAAGACTAAAATTAAGACCAACTTGACTGAAAAAATATGGTACACATGTATATGGTACAAGCCCCCAAAAAGTCAGTATTATGACCAACTCTTTATTAAGACCAATTATTTTCGGACCAAGTGGTGGTCCTAATAGAGAGTTTTACTGTACCTTTAAAATCTTCTTTCTCTTTGCCTTCTTCTTCAATATCAAATTCAGATTCTCTCTCATCATATTCTACATTTTCATCAAGTTCTTTAAAATCTGGTGCAAAAGCACTCCAGTTTTCCTATAATCATACAATCCATAAAATCAGTATAAATCATAATGTTTAATAACATATTAAATACATTAAAGAGATTTTCATTTGACCATTTAGCAATTATATGAAAGATTTGGAAAAAGACATGGTGTGCTTTTTAAACATGAAAATTATTTCTCTGGAAATAGATTTCTGATGGTGGAAGGCCTTACCTGCTATAAATGTACCATTTCAAGCATTTAATGAGCATCTATATACATGAACAAAACTTGTAGAGCCATAGTTTCATGAACCTTCTCTAAGATACCTGGGCTTGTTCTACACATGGGATATTTCATGGAGACATTAGGTTAAACAGAATTTGCCATAGTTTAACTTTGTATGAATCTATAAGCTTATAGATACACTCTCGAATCTGTTCATGGAACAAACCAGTACTGAGCAACGAGTGTAAAGTTTCCTGCTCAAATAAACAGCAGCTTGCCCCCTGGATTTCTAGTCCATTGCATTTACCACTTGGCCATGCTTCCAGATTGAGGCATTCAAGTCTGAAGCAGTGAAGGACAAACAATTTGGAATTATTGGTATTTACTTTACAAACGAAATGAGTATTTAAATATCAATATAAATGGAGACAACTTACAACTTGATTCTGTGCCCAAACAGATACCACACCACTTGATATAGATGCAATGATAGGTCGTACTGGATGCCACTGTAATATTAACATGTAGAGACAGTGAGATGAAATGGTTGTATAGCAAATAATCTTTAAAAAAAATCATGCTTTGTTGTTGAATTTAAGTTAAAGAAATTTTAATCAAAATGATAGTTTGTTGATTTTAGAAAGGTAATAACTACTTGTTTAAAGTCATGTAACTATTAAAGAGTGTATGTGTTACATCAAACAATTTCAATAATTAGAAGAGTTGATATTTTGAAGTATTCCTACATCACTGCTTAATGGCAGAATTGAAGAATCATTCTAAATTCAATCTTCACAACTAAAAATAATTTCCAAATTTAAATCTAACCCTCTACACATTATAAGTCATCCTAAACATGATTTTCAAATTCAAATCTAGCTCTCTTCACAATGGCAGCAGTTATGCTAAAAATAATTTCAGGATTCGAATCTAGCCCTCTATACAACTTCAGCAGACATTCTTATACTAATTTCTAACTTCAAACGTATATAGCCCTCTACATAACATAAATGGTCAACTATAGATAGTCATGTCAAAAAATAATTTCAGAATTTGAATCTTTACACAGCTTCAACAGTCATGTTTAAACTAATTTCCAAATTAAAATATAGCCCACTTCACTACATCAGCAATCAAGCTAAAAATAATGACCAACATTTCAAACCAATACCATCTTTTAACATTTTCATTGCAATTATATTATCAATTCCATTACCGGATATACTAATAACACAAACTATATGCAGCCTTTATCACTATATTTTCTATGCAGCTATCTTGGCAAAAAAATAATCAAAAGATATTTACTGCCACATCTAATAACAGCTCTCCTTTTGTTCCATGTAAAATTTTGACCAAGTTACCGACACTTTTCTCCCATATATACAGAGAATGTTGTTTAGCTGAACCTGCAACTATATATTCTCCATCACCCGAAAAACAACACTTCTTCCACATTGTCCTAAAATATAGAAAACTTTCACAAAATCTTTACAAATGTAAGTGTTAATCACTTTTTCTAAGTGCATGGTTCAATCCTTCTTTCCTTTTTTTTGTTTGGTTGGGTTTTACTGTAAAGGTTATATGGTGATTTTCCAGCTTTAAAGATGAGGGAGACCTCAAGTGTCTTTACTTGCATTATTTCAAGCTCAAACGGGCACCTGAGTAGAACCACCAATGCACCGTAAGCTAGCTGGGTAGCTTCCTCACATGAAAGAATCCAAAGTTCCAGGCAGATTCAAACTGACCACATTGATCATGACAATAAATTAGTGATCAATTTGTTATCAAACACTTTACTGGACAGCAAAGATTTACTAACGTTTCGTCCAAATTATTTGGACTTTCTGTGTCACCTTACTTTAATACATGTATTCATATACATGTATCATTGCTCAACTTGAAAAGAAGAGCTTCAAACAACTTTTTTGTCTGATATCAACTTATTAAAACTATAAGAAATGCAAATAAATATAATGATAATTATTATAAATTATATACCAGTAATATAACAAACAAGCTTTATATAATAATATATAATAACTCTCTCTATATATAAATTTGATCAGACTTGGCTAGAAGACAATGAAGAGCATTGACTTTGCTTAATCTATTAATTACTGGGGTACCTGATATATATTTTATGATATCAGATACTAGCATACTTTTCATGGTACATTATTAAAGTACAAATTACCAGTAAAATTCTGGAATATGTATATTACATATTGCAAAATCATATACAAACATATTAAACATTTCAGAATAATTGTACACTCACTTATTAACAAGATCTTGTAATTTTTGTATAGGTTCTGGTTCACCATCTTTACCACAAGCTAGGATCTCTCCACTTTCATACACACGTATTACACGATCCGCTGAATTTACCAGGAAACAACTGTACGTACAGATAAAGCAAAATCATATCTAATTAATTTATGTAAAATTATTTGTAAATGATAGATTGGGCACTTTTAAAAGTGATATATGGGTCCAGGTATTTGGATCTATGCATTTAAGAGTTGACATTTAAATTTGACCCTTGTGTGAAGTTGACCCATGACCTTAGGCTGAAGGTTATTTATTTCTATATGAACTTATAAACAGTTTTTCATCATCTTGTTTTTTGTTGTTATTTTTTTTTAATGAGTCTGGTTTAAATCTTTATCTTTAAATAATGGTTTAATGCATCTTATTTCTTGTACAGTTTTTAAAACTTTAAAATGGGAGAACAGCTTTAAATAAAAAAATCTTATTGGCTTATTCATCACACATATTTAGAAGTAATAACCAATGAATTCCTTCTATTTGTAAATGATGACCATACCTCTAGATGAGCCAAAATATTTCAAGAAAATCAAACTTGAGAAAAATGTACATGTACTAAGATTTTAGAAAAGTAACAAGATTCCAGTCATAAGTAACATGTTATATGCTATTAATGACCGATTTTGCGGTATTTATCGCCGTATTTCTTCTGCATGACTAACACATTGAGAGCTATTTTGCACATTTTGACCTCATTTTGGTAATTTACATAGATTGTGCCATTTGCAATGTGTAAATTACTTTCTTTCTTCTTAATATTTTACTTTTAAATACATTTTCAAAACTTTCATGAAAATTAGCATGAACCTGGAGGTATGTTGATTTAAATGTCATAATTCTTTCCTCTGGTCCTGTGCCTACAAGAACAGATCTGATTTGAAAAGTAAATAATAAGAACAAAACAAGAACTCACTCTCCACGTCTTGCAAACTCTATAGATTTAATGGCTGTTGTATTCAATGTCCCAGTTGTCACTCTAAATGAAGCCTTTAATTTATGATCTTCCTCCGTAAACACACAAACCTGGACATATTCAAAATAAATTCTAGATTTTCTACAGTAGCATAGTTATTTTAATACAGACTGGCCAGTTTTTCATTTCAAATTCTGAATTTATAACATTTCTTATATGCTTTCTCCTTACATACAGTGTGCTTACATATTAATGTACATGCACAGGGTGGTAATGTACAGCATGGTAATGTACAGTATTGTAACATAATGATAAACAGTGTGGAAATATAACAAAAAGTATGATAATATAATGGACAGTGATATAACATAATGATGTACATTGTGGTAACATACAATGTAGTAACAATGTATAATCGACCTAAGTCTGCATAATTTTCATTTTTGATAGTCCGAATGGTTCTTAAGATTTCAATGTTATTTAAAATAGAACCCAGGAATATTTGATCAGGATTGAAATAAATCTTATCCTAAATCCAACAAAACATGTATGCAAATTTGCATTATACTGTATTTTCAAATACTGTATAGTAATTATAAATTAAGAACATATTTTGAAATCTACATGTTTTTTATTCTGGCCATTTATTCTACAGTTACTTGATTGACAATATGCTAGAGCAGTTGTTCTTGTACAGTTTATCTAAGTTATCCTTGATGAGAAAATGTGCAATTTAGTTCAGTTTAGTTGGTTGGTTTTAACACATTGTTTTGGGTCATATCTCAGGTCAGTCATCTTCACCAGCTTTCCTGGAGAACTAACCAGTAAATTATAATTTCTCCACAAGTGACCAAACTACTCATGATTACTTCATCAGCACAGAGAGACAAATGACAGTAAGACTCAATGTCCAAGTAAAATTGTCACAAAGAAATCTCGCCTGAGAATCGTACTAGAAACCCCTGGATTACAAAATCGATGCTGTACCTATTGAGCTATGAAGACGGACAAATTATACAATAAATGCCATTCTTAATGAAGTAGTTTGAAAGAATTACCCTTCCTTTTGCATTTCCTGTATAGATACATTTCCCTCGCCTATCATAGGATGCCATTATATTCAAATCTGACTGTTGGGAAAAGAGAGAAAACAAAATTATTAATTATCTTATAAAGATATAAAGCATACTATAAAAGTATATTCAAATATCATTCATGAAAATAAAATAAAATGATAATAAAAAGTCCTTTAGTAATGGTCTGACAAGCTTTTCTCAGTTCAATCAACTGACCTTAAAATCAATAGGTGTCATCTACCAGCAATGTTCAGCCTCCAAATGTTTACTTTTTATTATAACATTGTTATTTGTTGAACAAGCTCTAGCGTATTAACTGACCAACCAAATACAAAGTGATATACCCCACTTCTTTGAAATTTTAAATGATCTTGATCTTCAAGCTTAACTACAAGTATACTTACATCTTCATCTAAAGGAACAAGCTTGTGTGATCCTTCCATATCCATGCTTACAGCAGCATGTTTCATTGGACATACCAAAAACTTCTCACTGAAAAATTTGAAAATTAAGTTTGCATCTTATACTTTTCAATATATAAAATCCATCATTTTTTAAACATGAAGGTACACCAAATTTCATATCTTCTCATGCTTTTCATATCTTTATGTCCTATTTAAGAATAAAGTAGGGAGAAATACTACAATAATAAGGAACATGGGTTCAAACCCCATCAGGGCCAAGCCGTTGTTTCTTTGAACAAGAAACTTTACATTCATTGCTTAGTACTGGTGGGTACCAGGAAAGGATTTGAGAGTGTTTCAATAGGGTAAAAGATTCAAACGCAATCAAACTAAAATAAATTCATATAAACTAAAATATTTAAAATGTTCAAAACACAGGTAATTTCCTGTATGTATTCAAAATTTTACAAAATGGAGAAAAAAACTAGAACTTTTAAATAACACTGCAATGTACCTGCTTCTAGGGTGAAACTGTACTTTGAGAATAGGGGACGGAAACCGAAATGTTTTCTCAACCTCTCCGGACAAAACATCCCATAATGAGACTGTGTTGTCGGTGGCGGCACTCAGCAACTTACGTCCATTTCTACTCCAACTATAACATTGAGAGAGTACTTGTTGATATTAAGTTACAACACACTGACACAAAATGTTTTCAGTTTCCATTTTAAAATCAAAGCTTAGCGTGATATAAAAATAGCATATAGATATTCAATTATTCATGCAGGGATAAACAGTGGCCTCAACTCTTAAAGGGAATAGGGGGCTAGATTTTCTAAATTTGATGTATTTGCATGTAAATTGCTCTTAAGAAAACTTTCCTTTTTTTTAAATTACAATATAACAGCAGTACTTAATATGAAATATATAACATGAATTACCTTAGAGTACAGACTGGGTGTACATGAGCATTAATGATTTTAGCTATGCCACGTGTTAGGAAATCCCAAAGAACCAGTCTACCATCATTACATCCTACTGCTAGAATGGTTCCCTGTCTGTTAAATGCACAGGTGATGGCAATACTAACACAGTCTAATGTGCCATCAAAATCCTAGAAATGAAGAAAAAATTGTTGTCACCATCTCATAATGCATCAATTAAATTTGTCTGAATTTATTTTAGTCCCAGCTCCTCAGTTATATATTGCTTATATTCTTTTTATATCTGATTTACATGTATAGGCAAATAACAGTCACTCTGTCCGCATAAACCACTTCGATAAACTACGAGAGATGCCAAACATTTATCATACTGTTACCTATCAAAATATCTGAACAATAATTCAACTACTTGTATTCAATCTGATCATATTTTACAAAATTTGGTACAGTACATTACAAAAATTTTGGAAATTAATATTATGTAGGAACAAATTATAAACATTACAGACATACATTTGTGTAATAATAAATGTGTATACCTGTTATAAAACTACAAAATGCATAATTTTTTTTAAAATATGTTAAAGTTTTCTTACTTTATCTTTCACCAAATTATTAACTAAATAATATACATGTATATGTAGCATACCTCAGGATAATTTTGTCCAAATGATTCTGAAAAATACAAATATATAATAATAATATAATATAATTATGACATTTATTGGTATTAGATACATACTTTATTACAGCATTGTAATATCCAATAGTTTATACAGCCTGACCTAACACATTTTTCATAAAAATATATAAGTTTATGTTGCAAGGCAGATTTTAAAAAGAGCATATAATTTATAGAATCCCAGAAATATCTGCTTATAAAGTAAAGACCCAATAAAATCATATTTCATCTGACATCATAACATTCTCTTAGAAGTCTGACCCATTGAACTTAAATGCCCCAACATACTAACTGGAATCATATTCATCATGTTACATGAACTTGTTTGTTTGTTAATTTTTTAAATAACAATACTATTTTTTTGACATTTTGTTCTCATTGAACATGTTATAATCATACAAAAATTAAATTACTAATGAAAAGGCCTACTTAATTCTGTGATTAAAACAGTGTCACATTTAGTAAGAATAGATTTTTGTTAGGGTAACCATTACCTTGAAATTTTGGTTATAAACATTTAAGTAGATAGGGTGCACCTAACTCAGGTGTTTGTAATGATATCATCTTAATTTCTCTTAACAATTAATAATTCATAAATCAAGTGTTAAATATGCACATCTGCTTTTTTTATGCTGGCTGGATTGTGTTTTCCTAGATGTTATAATTTCTTTAACAGCTTCGCCAATTATTGTCTCTTGTAAAGTCAACAATTTTGTCTGGACATGGGCACAAAATGGTACTAGATTGTTTTAAATAAGTTGCCAGTATTATAAACCTAAAAAGTACTCAGGCACTGACTTTTATTTGAAAGGCATCTATTTATATACAGTATGCAAAATACGCTTATAAATCAATTTGATCTTTTCCTGCACATCATGGTTTTCAGGGGTGAGAGCTAAACTGGGGAAATATACGATTTTAACGACCATGTAATAAGGGGATAAAAGCACCCATTGACAGTCTCTGTATGAACGTCATAAATAACCGAGGTATATTGAGTGGAAAAAAAACGAGCTATTTCCCTTATTTTCGAGTAAAACCGATATCTCTAATGATAAAACAATACAAATTTAGTCGTTTTTAAATCTTTAGACTGGTGTGATGTTCGATTTTAAAATTCAATGAAAAACTTGTGATCTTAGCTTTGCCTCAGTATATATTTCAACACATCAGTTGATGCTAAAGGTATTAAAATGTACGCTTAAAGTTAAACCTACCACAAGTCAGACCATTTAACATACAATTTATACAGTAAGATACACAACAGGTTATCTTTACTAGCTATTCTACTGATAAGAATAGCCTGTCATTACCTAGTTCAGAAACTGTCAGTCAGTGTAATAGTGTATTTTATATTGGCACCTAATTTAGTAACTTTGCGGCATAACCAGGGCTCTACAAATCCTATAGTCCGACTCCAGGACAACTCTAAACCACTTGGGACAACTGACAATAAGCAGAAAGTTAGTCCCGGACAAGTCAAATTTTGACAGATGCTAATCTTGGACAACTGTAAAATTATGTTTATTGATAAGACCCTTCACAGCATGGTGCGCTGGTAATCTTCGCCTGAGGCAATCAATCTCAGCAGTTGCTACGCTGATTAATTTTACATTGCCACAGGCAATAAAAATAGATAAGACACTAAATGTTTGATTAAAATCTTAAAGACAAAGTCCAACATTATTATAGACATGTCAAAAACATTATTAAGTCACAGACTTGGTCTTTGAAGTTGATATATTGACACAAGCAGACAGTAATTTTTGCCGTGAATTGAAAATTTGGAATTTTTTGTTTAAGGCTTTTTGATAAATTCCTAAGTGGAAAACAATATTAAAATATCCAAAAAGCATCTATTTTGAATGCATTCGAACATACAATAGTCAAAATAGTACTATAATTTATGAGGAAAACAGAAAAATTTTCATATGTCACATATTTTCGTGATGCCGATTTTTTTTATATAAATACTGAGGCAGTTTTAATAAGTTTAAAGCTCTGCAGCAAGTAGAAATATTAAAAATCTTTTGTTACTTATGAATCAAAAGGACTTTTGACAATGTTAAGATAAATAATGATGAGATTTGTAAGTATTTGAATAGTCTAATTCACTATCATATTTTATATTTCCCTACCGGGTAATATTAATGACTGACTGTCTTTTTCTTATTTACCATGTCCAATGTGAAATTTGGAAACTGAGGGAGGCTATGGCTAACTACATTCATGTTGGAATAATTTTACTTAAATTTTCAAGATCAAGGATAAAAATTCAAGAAAAAAAAAATAAAACTGAAACAAAACATATAGGCCTACACAGGCTATTGAACTTGAACAGTGCTGAAAGTAGGGCTGGGGCGAGTATCCGAGTACTCGGATAATCAAAAATCAAAATGAAAAATCGAGTACGAATATTTGTCAGTCCAGGGATCGTGGATTGCGATCTTATTTGTTTATTATACATTTGCTGTTTCTTACACTTTTAATGTCAACAAAAAAATCAATTTGTGTATGAATTATGCGAAGTTTATCTAAATTAAAGACAGAAAGTAAACAAAAATGTACCATGATGCTGAGCTAGGAAGTCATTAGTTTCGAAAAGGGAATCACTTTATCTTTATTGAGCGCTTGTTTTTATAAGAAAATAAATAAATAATTTTAGTCGCTATGTATAGATCTATAATGAAGTGACATGTATTGAAGACTGTTTTATTTTTAAGAATCCAAAATTTGCGAAACGCAAGTTAATACGTTAGTGTGACATCACATGTATTGGCTGAAAAGGAGTCGCGCCAATATAAAATCCCACCAGCAAAATTTACTTCAAATTTTTGGAAATACTTGTCTTTTCATGTGATCATGGTGATTAGACAAGTTTGTTGTTCCACCTTTATACCTTTATAGGCCAATTCGCCATGGCATGTTTTACGAACTGCTTTTTCCTCATTTTTATTGAAAGTAAATTTTGCTGGTGGAATTTTATATTGGCGCGACTCGTTTTCAACCTTTAAACCTAGTTTATATTTGCATTGCATATATGTTTAATGAAATTAATGTTTAGTATTGTTTTAAGAAAAAAAACATGTTTTCAGAACTAATGTTCATGTTTTTATGGGTGTCCTATGGTCACATCAATGTTATTTGTGCCGTGTGGCGGCCGTAAAAAGTCTCCCCGTACATTTAATCAAAGATGTTATATTTTCGATCCTTGAAGATCGTTCAGCATGACATAATTGTTGTGTATACATGTTATGTGGTATTTTTAGTTTCTTCTATTTGGCCTTTTTCAACTTGGGTGGTTCAAGTATTCCTACTTGAATACTGTCTTATCACTCTTAGGATATGTTGCCTGCTTTTTAAATTGTCTTTTAACGTCTTATCTGTGATATGCAGGCTTCATAACCTCAGATCCCCTTTCAAAATTCCATTTTATTTAGTTCCGCCCATTGTTTTCTCGTTTAGGGCACACGCATTTTTTCACTTGGGGACCATATGCCGCTTTCCATGGAATGGCACTTACGTGTCACATTGAAGGTTCCATGATAACCGTTATGTGAACACATCTGTGGATGTTTCTAAATTCCAAATTGTACCAGTTCGTGTTAGATGTTGAATTCTGCTTAAGCCGGCGCTAGGGGCGTGGACGGTAACTTGCACTTTCCAGTACCGTCCATGAACAGACTCAAACAAACCGAGCCTGCAACATTTTCAATTTTGCCGTGTTGGGCTTTCTTTAGTGATTCTGTTTTTCTCTATATGATAACAAAAGATTTGTGGTTCGATTTGTGAATTGCAAGTGCTGAATCATGGATCAGATCGGATCGTCACTTATCCGACGATCCACACCCCTAGCTGAAAGGTACCTGGGAAGAGTGCTGAACAATCAAAACTATTTCAGTTGAAACAAAATGTTCTATTTTATACTAAATGAAATACAAAATGTAACTTAAAAATATTAAAAAATTAATTGTTTTTACTTCTTCTTTGGATATAGTATACATACTACGCATACTGAACATTTACCGAGTCTTGGACACATGTGGTCAATTTTGGGACAACTCTATTTTGCTAGGTCAGTTGTCCTGGGCAACTCTATTCCAAAATCAAAGGGCTGCAAGCTCTGCGGTTTTTTCTGATCTTTGCAATCTAAATCATACTGACTATCTGTATGTATTTTCCTATATAGGTTTATTTTTATATACTATAATTCATCTTACGTAGCGACTGCGTTAAGATTTTTTTCTATAACAGTTTGAGATTGATTAATATGGAATTTTGCATGACTAGAGTTGCATCAAAAATCATTTTTTATGACAGCCACACTTTATTCTTGCATATCGTGGCTACTTCCTTAAAAAAGACACTTCAAAAAAAAGTTGCCTTGACTAGGATTTGAACCTTAGGCCTCTCACACCCAAAACGAGCGCGATACGAGCACGATACCCCTGCACCACAGTGAGTAATACATAATATGTAGCCTGAATAAAAACAAATACATTGTAATTCTAAATTGAGAATTTCCATTTCGTGTTTGTAATCCATATCAATTTCGAGGTATTTTGTTCACGATAAACCTGTTTAACACTGATAAAAATAATTTAGCGAAAATCTTCTCGCCAAAACAGTCCGACATGTATATATATATATTCCACTACTCGGCAGTCAGATTTATTTGTATACTACATGTACGCCCTGGAGTATTCAGTAATCGACATAGCTAAAAATAGCATTTTCATTGATTAAAATGATATTCATCCGCGGAATTTGTGATTGTAACCTCATATTTCTATTGACTAATCTGAACTTTCAATGCACTGTAATTCGTTAAATGCCTACATTAAAAATTATTCTGTCTTTTAAATTGCTGGTTTTTAAGCAGTTTTGAGTGAGAACTACTTTGCGTTGTTAGGTCTGTTAGGAAATTTTGTGTTAGACCTTGGGTGTTAGCTATGTATTTACTGATCTTGCGATCAGAAAATACAAAAAATTGTAGAGCGCTGATAACAATAGCAATATTCATAACTAGACACTTCAACTGCGACACGTAAAAAATATTTTAAGTGAACAATATGAAATATTCTCTATTTCGCAGCAATTTCGATCTGAAAATGTTTCAAAGATTCGTGTTATTGCTTGCCGCCTAATTTAAGAAATTTTGATACCCCACCCACCAAAACAGCCATTATCAGAAAATTTGTGATACGATTAACTACTCTGTAAATTTGATTTTGAAATTTAAATTGTATGGACGCATTTACAAAAATACATTTATATGTCTTGATTTTGCAATCATTTAAATTCCTCTACAAATAATGTAAAAATAATACCTAAAAGTTCCAAATTCATTGTTTTGTTTTGACCGGAAGTTGTATTCCGGTTATAATATAATGACGAATCATTTGGAATGTAATGTTATCATCTTGAAATCTCGAGTTCGGCAACACTGTTCACTTTCATTTTAAAGTGTTAAATGTAAACAAAAAAAATGTAAAAGACATAAAGAATATTACCACTCAGTTGAAAGTTTTCTTGCAAAACTCTAAAACTTTCCATCTGACTGTTTTAAATGATTTTTAACAACGACCTCCAGTTAAAAATAATTTCACTAAAATGTATATCATGCATTGATCTAATTCTATTTTCCTCAATCAACATGCATTTCGTTACATTTTAATGATAAAACTGAATTTAGACATGACTTGACATTGTTACGTGTACTGGTAACTTTATTACACAGACTGTGGAGTAAAAAACTTGGAGTACGTGATTATTGGCACGGAGGCCAAAAATAATTTAATTTATAACATATAGAAAACAAATGACACATAAACGAATGCTATGATTTACTGTTAATAACATATATAATCAAACCAATATCACCATTGCGAAAACACACATGACAGGCACCATGTACATTTGTTTGTGCATGGAGCTTTATAAAAATCTCTGGTTTGTGTCATTAGCTAGGTATAGCATTTTATGTATAATGAAACTCGAAGTTGAAGTTATATAACCATTCTTACATGTATATTATCATTGATCCTGTTTATGAATTTTGAAGTGTCTGCATATTATATTTGCCTTAAATACTTACCGAACTGGGGTGTTCTATTTAAAGTTATTAGCCATACTATATTGTTGTCGCATGTGTAGGCTGCTGATTTATTATTTAATGATATTTCTTAAAGGCCCATTATGCCTCAGAAATGCTTTTATTTCTCAAAAGCTTTTTAATGATGGTGTATCTTTTATAATATCCAAAAAGTTACTCATTGACCAATTATCTGAACCATCTTTTTCATCTGTTGCTTAATTTTTGGCAATAAGTACAGTTATATATAGTGATTTTGTATGCAAGTCAAAATACTATACTGTTTACATTTTGCTTCTTTTATGACAACTTTTTCATATTTATCCCTACTTTCTTCAAGTTAGAAGTATGTAACCATTATAAAATCAATTTTTGACTTTTGTTAAGACATTTATTTATTTCCGAGGCATGATGTGCCTTTAATAAAAACGCATCTAAACCTTTGAACTAACAGTTTTATTTAACAAGGAAGTATTCATGAAATTTCCTTATCTACATGTATAAAGTATAACTTGTATCGCACGCACGTGCGGTTAGGGGTCACCTCAATTGGCAAAAATACCTGGGTGCACTTTTGTTAACACGAAAGATCTAAAATAAATCTGTTTGGTTCTGGAACATTAGTGGATAGGCCTCTTTTAAAGTTTAATAATTGAAATTTTCGGACTTAATGCTCGATGCAGAAAATAAACTTAGAAAAACGTCATCAATGGTCATTTTGAAAGTAAACATGTCACCAGATAAATATAGCGATGATCATGGGGGTTTGACTGAGAATATTTTGTACAGATACACATCTACTTATATTTACATATCTTATTGCTATTGATAACCTTATTATGAATGCATAATATGGAATATGATAGGTTTATATTTATAAACAAATCAAAATGCACTTACCAGCGGACGGAAAATCTAATCTTTCGGGAGGGGCTATAAAGCTATTATTTCGTTCACCCGTCTGTCTGCCAATGCTTTTTCACTACTGTAACAACCAATCCCGATTCGATCATTTTTCAAGTTCCGATCATTTAAACATCAGGGACGTTAGGATAATGCAGGCTCTGAGTTAATTAAATTTCATGAAAGTAATAGCTTTTTAGTCCTGTATGTTCGCTGAATACTTAACTTACTATAATGGGCTGAATAATCACTGTATTTTAAAACGTAGACCTATCCATTCCATTACATGCAACTAATCAACAACAACTTCTTCCACTTCAATAAGCCGTGACAACTATCCGGGAAACCACAGTGCGCTGGAGTTTCTCTACCACACCAAGGGCTAAACGTGTCAAATCTCAAGTCCAACTACATATACTCACCGAGGACTACGTTTTATATCGCATTATCAAAAATATATAGACTTTCAAAAAATGATTCAAGGTATCACTTGAAAATAGGTAACACAATGGGGAATGAAATTCAATGCAAAAACAAACAAGCCCTGAATCGCTCACCAGAAACAACTGTTTTTCAGTGTTAGAATAAACTTGCCGAAAGGCAAGCCCAGTTCAACTTGCCTCTTTAGTTATCTAGTTTCACGAGACCGATTGTTTTGTTTTCTTCATAACAAAAAGGGAATCTTTCACAAATGACCAAAGTTCATTGTTACTGTACATCTGGCAAATTAACCATGTTAGCTCACACTTTCTTATTTCCTTTTCATACTGGAGCCTTTTTTTATATAAAAGACTACCTAAGGGTGCTACAGGGAAAGTTTGGTGATCATCCATAGAAGAAGAAGTTGTTTAAAGGTTTTTTTTTCTTCTATTTTTAGATGATTTACAAAAAATCAAGGGTAGAACAGAGGAATTCCCGACGAACAAAAAACAGATATGGAACACCAATAAACTAAAATATACTTGTAAAGTGACTATGAAACACGAACTATTTTAGGAAGAAGAGTAATAGCTTCTAATGTAACACAGTAGTGTAAAGGGACGGAACTCCAAACTAATGTAACTAAGTAGAAACTGCATATTTTTTGTTGTTGTACTTGTGGACAAGAATCACTCGGAAAACGTTGTGGTAAACGTATACAGACTGGTGAGAGCTTAAAGAGACAGTTCTCCATTTATACAAGGCTACTCCCTGTATTATATTAGCAGTGGTCCTCCTACGCACACAGACAGATCAAAGCTGACACCAAAGTTATATTTTGGAATTTGCAGAATAATGATATCAGATATCTCTTGATCAACAAGGATACAAGATGCTGTCATACAAACACAAGCAAGGTCATCCAAGTTTCAAACAGACTTGCAGAGTATATCCACACACTTTTAAACATAAAAATATTGTATCAATCTATTGTGATAAAACAGTTAAAATGTATGTAAATGGAGATACAGCACTAACTGTCGTGTATCTGGACACACTTGCTTTAAAGCTGCATAGTTATCCTTGACACAAAATATAAGATAGACATTGTAACTGCATATAGGTGTTCCTAAAAGCAAGGGCATTAACTCAGATAACAGGTTTGCTATTCTAGTTGTCGTTCTTGATTTTGGCATCAAAATGGATATACTGAAGAAGAAACAGACAACTTCCTTGGCAAATGCTTAAAATACATTAAACCATCAAACACAAATAATAATTGGGGAATGATAAAAAGAAAACACATATTTAAACATAAAAGATACATTTTAATTTCACCATAGTTGAAAGTCTATGTAATACAATTAATGACAGAGGTAGGGACAATCATCTGTTTATATAATGTGTTAATATGAAACTTTGTTAGTAATTCAGATAACATTTGTGTCAATTTCATAAAATTTCTGACTAACTTTTGACATTTTCTAATCACCAATAAAGTTTTTAAATTCTATTTGTTTATTTGTTCGAGTCTGTCTCATCATGGTGACACTGTTATTGTAACAAAATTTCCCCACTCTTCTTTGTAGATGAAGATTCTGAAGTCCTATTCAATAATTCAGACACATATACTCTATATAATAAATTATAAACTAACTGATCTTTTTTTAAATAATTCAATTTCCTATGTTTCATGGAGGTACGTGATTTTTATCCCTTTACCTGCTGGAATAGAAACTGCCTAGATTTTGCCACCAGTATAGAGCCAGGCCAGCCTACATGTGTGCTGTCTGACCAGGCTCTATTCTGCCAGCATATGAATTCTTGTATTTTGAAATTGAAATTGAAGTCCCTTAATCATTTAATGAAATGTTCCAAATTCAAAGTAGAACAAACTCACATATTCAGTAAGATAAGGTTAAGATCACTGAATGTTAAGAGTCCGTCACCTTTATATATTCAAGCTTGACAAAATTTGTTTAAAAAGTAAGTTGATGGAAAAATTCTTTTTATCTTTTACCTAAATTTTAGAAATAAAATGTCAACCTGGTTGTACACTTGTTTGTATTACTATTATTATATCTGTTAGCTTGATTGTGCAAACAATTTAAAATAAATTTAAAACCTCTCTCAAGTCTGCTTCATGGAATCAATCAGTACTATTTTCAAACAAGTTAACATGGTCCTAACCCCTGCAGAGCTCAGACCACAGTCCCTCCGTTGAGGAGCAGACACTTTAACCACAAGACCACTACACCTCTTAAACTTTTTTTGTTCTGCAACGTTTTCACAAAAATAATTCTTATTTATAACAGTGATGGCAGATATATGCCTGCAGTACTATTTTTGTCGGTAATTTGGATCAAAGTAAATAAAGAATTATTGTTATTTATACATAACAAACTTGATACATGTATATCTCTGAAATACAGTCTTCATTCTGTCAAAGATACATGTTTATATTCATAAATATATTTATGTCTTAAGTGGAAATTATAATGTACTGCTAATTTATGTTAAATGTTTTGCTTAATGACACAAATGTTTTCTGTGTTACTGACCAACATGTATAAATATCTATATAATTTTTAGGATCAAAACATTAAAGTTAGTCTTCATAAATATATGTTAGATTTTATGAAACATAACACACAAAAAACCATTATAATTCTGGAATGCATGAAAATGGAATAATTTGATTGATTTAATACAATAAAACATGACAAAAATGCTAAATTAAAGGTGGGATAACAGTTTTAATATGATTCCAGCTGGAAAATTAAATGAATGACATACGCTGTTATATTTCACAACAAAACACCTACATTTAAAGGGTTTAAAGCTATATCTTATGAAATATATTCTATAAAAAATTAAAGAATGGTAAATTTTTGTTGTTTCCTTAACATTTAGGTCATTTCTCAAAAGAGTTGTAATATAGAATGTTTCTGTTATTTTACACAAATTTAAACTGTGTGTAAACAGAGTAAAATGTTCCGAAAAAAAAAAAACATGGTGTTTTTTTTAAAATAGGTTTTTTGAACGTTTAAGAAATATTTTGTGCATGCGTCATCCGCTCAAAAGGAAACATACCAACATATTTCTTTCATACCGGCATTTTGGAATTATTCTTTTTCAAATTTCAAACAAAAATTTTGTAGACTGCAGGTAGCAGAAATATAACTTTATACACTTTAACACTCTGCTGTAATGTAACTGATTAAAACCAAATCACATCAAAGTCGCTGTTAAGTTAGTAA